GTTATTTATTACTTCGACACTCTTGCACTTAGGAAAAGACATCAATATTTTAGTTGTGTCAAATACCAAAGCTTCTGGAACCACATGAGATGAAAAGATTGTAAACGATGACTATATGCTGGCCTACAAGTCCAAACTATTCATAATTAAGATAACCTGTCAGATCAGAATATCTCTCCATATCATGAACCTATTATTAGTTGATATTAGTGTTGTACTAGCTTGTCGTTTGTATCATAAGTCATGTAAGGGTGCACTCTTTAGTGTGCCTCAGTGCTTTCTGATATAAAGAATGATGTAAGTAAAAGCCTCCAAAATAGTATAAGTAGAGACTGTGTGTAATGTTGTAAATTAGAACTAGGGAGGGTAGACCTCAAAAGAGAAGCCTTTTAAAAAAAAAACTTGCTTTTCTAATTCTCTGTTCTTCAAGCCTTTTTTTTTTTTTGCTTTAAGTTTTAAACTAAAAGTTTTTGTTATTATTAGACAAGACATTGCTCTAGTGAGTAGCTGTTAAGGGATCGAAAAGTTGGTCATGTTAAGCCACTTTGTTACAGTTTATATCCCGTAATTTGTTTTGAAAAAAACAAATTCCTTAATAATAAGAATAATAATAATGAATCAATAAATTATTTTTTACTCAAATTTTTAGGGATGTAATTTCTCTTTTTTTTTATTAATTAACATTTTTTTTTAATTTTTTCCTTCATTAAATATGAAACCTTTTTTTTTTTTTCAAAAAATTGAATGGGTTGGATGAGTTTATATGATGTGAAATATGAAAAAATAAGGTTGAATATAATAATGGATCAAAATTCAACTACCTATATCCATGAACACTTCTAATTTTATAGATTTTAAATTCATATTGTTACTATTATTAAAAATAAGAGTTTTTTTTATTTGATTATGAAATATCCTTTTGGGTATCATTTTTAGTATAACTAGTCAATATATAAAACTTGTATGGTGTTTAGAAAATAATTAATAATATCTTATTAGTTATTTCTTGAGATCGTCATAAAAAAAACAAAAACAGACACAAAAATAAAAAAGAAAATAAAATTCATAACTCACCAAAAATAATTATAATATCTCAATTTAAATTTTTCTGTCCTACTTATCTATATTTTTTTTCTTTAAAATGGACATATGAATTATTCCCTAAACACAATAAAATTTCTTTTTAATATGACAATACATTTGCATCTGCTTTTATTATCTAAATAGTATAATTTATAAATTAAAGAAGAAAATATTAATTTAATTTTAACAAACTTTAATAAAAAATATAATATATTTGTAAAATTATAAATGCATTAGGTTGTAAATACTCTGTCTATTTTGAAAAAATAAATTTCTTAAAATAAAAATAATAAATTATAAAATAATAATTAATTAATAGCTTTTTTCTATGCCATCAATTCAACAAATAATAAGATTAATAATAATAAATAAATAAATCATTTTTTACTCTAATTTTTAGTGATGTATTGTCTATTGTTTTTATTGATTAATATTACTTTTATGTTTTTCATTAAATAATAAAAAATACCATATTTCTTTACAACAAAAAAAAATCACTGGAAACTGGGCAGGGGATGAACAAATCTTTTTTTATCTATGAACATTTTTAAGTAATTAAGTGTTTTTTTTGTTTATATTGTTTTTAAAATTGATTTTTAAACTTTTTTTATCTATAAAAAAATAAAATTCATGTTTTTATATGTTTTAATTTATGTTTTTATTGTGTTAATATAATAAAATAAAATAAAAAACCTAAAATAAATATTTTAAACATTTTCATTTAAAAAAACATTTTTTTCCCCTCTCCAACCCCGTTACCTTCCCCGTCCGATCTTAAATAGTATTAAAAAAAGAAAAAGAGAAAAAGAAAAAGAAAGACGTTTCTTGAAGCCTAGGTTAGAATTCCATGACTCGTTGAAAACCCAAACCCAAGTGAAAGAAGGTCACTCCAACAAAAAAAACCTCTCTCTCTCTCGGATACAATAAACAGTGACGACACCCAATTAAGCGTGACAGTGAGAATCTCCGATCCGATCAAGCTCCAAAAAAATGGCGAAATCTTGTGTAGATTTACCTGCTAAAGGTGGATTCAGTTTCGATCTTTGCAAAAGAAACGCTATGTTATCAGACAGGGGTCTCAAGCTTCCTCCTTTTAGAAAAACTGGAACTACCATTGTGGGTTTAGTTTTTCAGGTAACATCCTTTTATTATTATTTTTATAGACAATTGTGAAGCTCAACCCAGTTACTACTTGATTTTCTGGGTTATCGCCATTTTTTTAGATCTTCATTCAACTTGATTGGTTGAGTTATGGAGTTAGGGGTTTTTTCAGGTTAGTTAGGGACTCACCCCTTTTTCTTTTTAAAGGAATTTGTTTTAGGTGTAGTGATGTTGTGTTTGGTTTTGCCAATTGAGATTGTTGATTTGGTTATTAATTGATTTTTTTTGCTAATAATTTTATCTAATGTTCGAAAAAAAAGGGTTACAATGCTGTTCAAGAAGATTCCCCGGTATTTTTCTTACATAGATTATATATTGATTAGCATATCTTTTGCAAATTCTTGAATGAGCTCTCTGTTGTATCAATGTGTTTGTGGCTAGCTGTTGTGTAATTTGTAACTTGTTCAAAAAAGCATGCTGCTTTCTATTCTCTTAAAATTTAGGATCGTTTGTGGTCACCTTTGCTTGAGTTTTGGGACTGCTTTGGTGGATGGTCCATGTTTTGGGAAAAGACTTGACATCTTTGGGTGGATGTTGAAACCTTAGCAGAAGATAGAAAATTAAATTTGTTGCTATCTTTTTTTCTCATAAATTGATTTATGTATATAATCTTTTTCGTTATATCACAATTTCTACGTAGGATGGTGTCATTCTTGGAGCTGATACAAGAGCGACAGAGGGACCCATAGTTTGTGATAAGAATTGCGAAAAAATACACTACATGGCACCCAACATATATTGCTGTGGAGCAGGAACTGCTGCTGATACAGAAGCAGTAACAGGTACTTATAGAGAAATTTTAGGTGTAGTTCTGGTTCCCTGTAGAACTTTGTGCTAGAAGTGCTGGTTGCATAACTGGTTACATCTTTTCTCCTTTTCTAATGTTACTAAAGCTAATGCAATGCAATGGTGCTTGCATTTGTGTAGACATGGTCAGCTCACAGCTGCAATTACATCGTTACCATACTGGCCGAGAATCGAGGGTTGTTACAGCGCTCACTCTTCTTAAGAAGCATCTTTTCAAGTTGAGTTCTCTTGTTTCAAACTTATGTGATTTGCCACGTATCTATTTATAGTGAGTGTATATTCCTGACAGCTTAATGCTTTTTCTAGCTACCAAGGTCATGTCTCGGCTGCTTTGGTTCTTGGTGGGGTTGACTGCACTGGGCCTCATTTACACACTGTAAGTGTCACTACTTAAGAGGCATTTGTGCTGGAACTATTCTTTTGGCCTGGACTATTCTTTGATATCCTGCCAATGCAATGGCTTATTTTACAGATATATCCCCATGGGTCAACTGACACTTTGCCATTTGCTACAATGGGTTCTGGTTCTCTTGCTGCAATGGCTGTTTTTGAATCAAAGTACAAAGAAGGCCTTAGTGTAAGTTGGGTTTTCTATGGAAGGTTTAGATGCCTGGGTGTGAAGAACTAAAAATTATAATACAATATTGCTCTTCATAATCATCCATTAATAGTGTTAGTTTAATGTTTGAATTCCACAGAATATGTTTATGATTGACAACATGAGGTTGTTAAGACTAAAAATACTGTAGAAAGGATCAAAGAACAATGAAAAAGTAGTCTATCCCATATATTCTTTTACATCATTGCTTCCTATTGAGTCCAAACAATAATGTATCCTTGTAGAGAGATGAAGGAATTAAGCTTGTGAGTGAGGCTATATGCTCTGGCATATTCAATGACTTGGGAAGTGGAAGCAATGTTGATGTTTGTGTTATAACAAAGGTATGTTATTTCAATCAGTCCCCATCGCTATTTGTTGAAAGATGTCTTGAGCTCAAATTGATGAAAGTTCTCCATTGAAATTCATGATGTCACAGGGGCACAAGGAATACTTGAGGAACCACATGTTGCCAAATCCTCGCACCTATGTCACTGAACGAGGGTACTCTTTTCCAAAGAAGACTGGTTAGTATTATGCATTCTCTTGCCTTTTGTAAATATGTCTCCATTTTTAACCAGACCAGCATTGTACTATTCAAGACTACCATCATACTTGCAATAAAACCTATGCATATAGAAGAATAGCTAGCCTTTAAATGCTTTGACCATTCTCTCTGAAATGTTAAACACTAGACCCATAACTTATTTTCATTGTCTCACAATCTTATCTACTCTCTTTCTCTCTGTCAAGAAAGTTAAATTCAAGACCTGTAGTTTTTTTCAATTGTCTCAGGTTCTCATCCTATGTTTCTTTTATGGAGTTCATCAGTTCATCAATTACCAATACCTTAATTTTTAGATATTGATCGTGCTGATTGCATTTTTATGTTCTGTTGCTTCCTTTGTGATGCTTCTCCTTTATCAAACTGGTGTACTAGGATTCACCCACCAGTCAGCGCTTTATTTTTCTAATAAAATACTATGGATCCCTGTTATGCAAGACTTGCTCAGTGCTGTGTCCTGTTGCTATTTCTTACTTTCCAAGAGTTGAAACAAAGTACCATCGCTTAGCGCATGTTTCCAAGTATTAGAGGTTGGACATGCCTTTGGTACAGTGCATCAAACTCTGTGGCTGCCACTGAAAGTAAATAAAATGTGAACTCTCTAATCCTCAGAATAGTGTTCTAGACTTCAGATGTTGTCTTGTCAGTAAAAAAGTGGAGTGGAGTCCTGTAGCTACCCCTGTTTGTCTTCCCAAGCAAATAATGTTGATTGTTTTAGAAGTTTGCAATTTGTTGGTTAATTTTGCTATTTGTCTTGTTACAGAGGTTCTCATGACAAAGATTACTCCCCTGTGGGAGACGGTTGAAGTGATTGAAGGAGGTGATGCAATGGAAGAAGAGTAAATAATCATAGCAATCAAGAGGGACACAGTAGAGACTTTTCCAACTCCTGTATGGTCTTTGTGATCACTGGGATGGATGTCCTTGATAATGTCCAGTTTCGAAACCTCATTGACTTTATATTGAAATGTTTCTGGGCTTGGCTTCATGCTACACTCCTGGAGAGTTGCTGTTTTGTAATTTATGTTTTTTTTTTTTAATTATTGCTCTAACTCTTTGAATGCAATTGCAACCTCCTTTGCTCGTCTCATTCTTTGAAGTTGCTGGAGGAATGAAGGGTTGGCTTGTAGTCGCTCGGCCTGTTTGATGATTTCACGGAGAAGGGAAGGAAATTAACGCAGGAGAGCATTATCTTAAGGGAGGGGAGAGGTGGGAGGAATCTGGACTTGATGGACAATTAATTGTCAAGGTATTTAATGGAACTCTTCCCCGCCCAACTTGTGAAAGAGTCGATGCTTCGCAAATAATTGTGTTCACTTTTATCATGGTGGTACAACAAAATCGCATTCAAAGCTAGTTATTGAAACCAAAAAAGTAAATAAATAAACTAAACGAATTTAGTATTGGTGCCACCAGTCTACTTCACGGCCTTTCCTCTTGCTTTTTTAATTGTTTTTTTTTTTTTCCTTTGGGTGTATGGGAGTGTGATATCAGTTATTCTTTTATCTTCTTCCTTGGCTTATTTTGGTTTTATTTGAATTTTGCTGGACGCTTTGTTTCATAAGCTACATACCCTGCAACAGTGTATTAAGTTACCACCAACGGCTTTGAATCCATTGTGCCAAGGCACTAAGAAGAATATAGCCTAATTAGTTACAAAGAGTTGCAATACTAGTTTTGTTAGACTCGATTGCTAACATGATTAAAAAATTAATGTAATAAATAACTTGGTAAGATTGAGATTGAATTACAAGAATATTAACTATATAAATTATAAATTTTTGTGATTGTAAGATTAGTATGAGAATTAAACAATGATAAACATAATTGTCAAGGTTAGAGAATTTATTAATAGTGTTTTAAATAAATATAATAAACTCTTATTACTCAACTAGAAACCACATATAAAATAGTTCTAATCGGATTATAAATTGTTAACATAATTATATTAGTTATCTTATTCGAATAATGTTAATACTTGTAAATATTGTTAAGTATTATAACTTATGTTAATAACAAATTAAGTTCCTTTCATAACACAAGTGTGGGTTATATCATACGGTTAGGCTATGACAGTGCTAAGTATTTGTTGTATCAAATATTATATAATATAAATCTAGATTAACCATTTAACAAGCAAAGTATTAAAAGTGAAGAAGATAACAATTATAAAACATGTTAGTATCAAACATTAAAGTCCATGTTGAGTTTATACTATACTTATTTTTACACCATTAGTGTAACCTTTTT